CATTTTATTTTGTGATGTGATGTGAGCGCAGGTGCAACCCAACAGGCCCCAAACGTTCCTGGCAGCAAGTAAAAATGAAATATAAAAATATAGTCCAAACAGGTGAGGTGTAATTGTATTATGAGCCATAGTGCTTGGTCTGTTTGTCCGATGTAAATCAATTGCAGTTAGAGGCTACATTAATTTTCTCTCTGTAAGCACTTATTGAAATTATCTGAGCACATTACAAGTACATATTTGCTTACTCTGTATGCTCAAATGTGACCCGTTATAGCCAACAGAAAAAAAGCGAGCGTATTTGTTACTCGTATGCTCAAATGGCGTATACAACAAAAAAAGCGGAGGCCAAAGTGGGGGTCCTCCACCACCACCACTCACAGAGGCTGAGCAGTTGGCTTCCACATTTGTGATAATGTTGGCAGCATCACATATGATCTTCACAGTGCAGAGAACACAAATTAGCATCCATTACTATAATGAAATAATTTGTTAGTTTGAAATGCTACAGGGAACTATGTACCTGTACATTAATGCTGTGGAAAGACTTCCTGTTCACATAGTCTCTTCATTTACTGAAGGAGCAATGATTGGAATGTGAGTGCCATCTATACAGCCAATCACGCCTGGGAACCGTGAGAAATAAATGTAAAATTTAAGTAGTAGTTCAAGTATCACCACATCATGAATTAAGTTTCTGTTCATCCTGCTACCTGCAATTTTGTGGCATCCCTCTTTGATAAATCTTGTGGGTCTATGACCGGGGAACACCACAAACGAGTACAGGAGACGTTTCAGTGCAACTGTAACATTCCTGACCAGCTTTCTGAAACAGGGCCCGGGCCCTATTTCAGGAAGCCGGTTTAGTGCAAACTCTGAGTAAGTATACCCTGAGTTAACGAAAACTCTGGGTTTTCGTTTCACAAAGCGAGTTTAGATTAATTCTGAGTGAGTTACTATGACGACACACTCCGTGAAGCTAACCTGCCCCCTAGCAGGTTTACTTCAACTAACCCTGACTTTCTCCGCCTCTTTGTCGGAAACCTGACTGTAGGAAGTGTCAGACATGGCGTGCCCTTCCTTGAAGAGCCAGTAGATGTTGAAGCCCAAATTCTCCGCAGAGCTCTCCGCCGGGAGAGAGTGATTAGAGCGCGTTCGGACATTTTATCATTTCCTGATGATTTTCTGTGTGAACGTTACCGTTTTTCAGCACAATCTATAATTTATTTGAATAACATCCTCAGGCCTAATATTGCTCATGTGACACATCTAGCGGACAGTTCTCTCAGTTGGCTGTACATATTATTTGTATTGCACTTCGGTTTTTTGCAAACGGGAGCTTTCTGTATAATATTGGTGACGCTGAGCACGTTTCCAAGGCTACCGTCTGTCGGGCAGTCAGGAATGTTACAGTTGCACTGAAACGTCTCCTGTACTCGTTTGTGGTGTTCCCCGGTCATAGACCCACAAGATTTATCAAAGAGGGATGCCACAAAATTGCAGGTATCAGGATGAACAAAACTTAATTCATGATGTGGTGATACTTGAACTACTACTTAAATTTTACATTTATTTCACGGTTCCCAGGCGTGATTGGCTGTATAGATCACTCAACATAATTATTTCATTATAGTAATGGATGCTAATTTGTGTTCTCTGCACTGTGAAGATCATATAGTGATGCTGCCAACATTATCACAAATGTGGAAGCCAACTGCTCAGCCTCTGTGAGTGGTGGTGGTGGAGGACCCCCACCTGTTTTTCGGGCCTCCGCTTTTTTTCTGTTGGCTATAACGGGTCACATTTGAGCATACAGAGTAAGCAAATATGTACTTGTAATGTGCTCAGATAATTTCAATAAGTGCTTACAGAAAGAAAATTAATGTAGCCTCTAACTGCAATTGATTTACATCGGACAAACAGACCAAGCACTATGGCTCATAATACAATTACACCTCACCTGTTTGGACTATATTTTTATATTTCATTTTTACTTGCTGCCAGGAACGTTTGGGGCCTGTTGGGTTGCACCTGCGCTCACATCACATCACAAAATAAAATGTATGAAATAAAAAATAAAATAAAATATAATAAAATAACGTGTTAAATGGGTGGAAATCCCTAGATCAATGTTTAAATTAACACTCACGCATTGACTCTGTCGGCTATGTTTTGCCATGCATGCTCCCTTTCTTTTGCAGCTGAGGCTGTGTTACTTTTTTTCCGCGGAATTTGCATGTTATCGGCATATGCTGCCATCAGAATTTCGGCCTCAAGCGCTGTAAAATACATTGACCGCGCCTTCTTTCCCTCCGTCTCCATGGTGACTCGCTTAATCTGTGCTCCACTAATCAGGGCTTTATGTATCCTCGTGCGCGCGCTTAACTTGGGGTTAAAGCAACTCCGCGTTGACTGAACTAATTGTTATCAGCCTTTCTGAAACCGAATATTCCGAGTTGGACAGTTCGGGGTTACTCAACCCTGAGTATCGTTTTTCACTCTGAGTTTTCTAAACCGGCTTCCTGAAATAGGGCCCAGGTCATAACTTCTTACCTGAAGTTCAGTTCCTCTGCCACTATGACCGGCGGCCGCCTCGGGTCTCTCCTCCTCTTGCCTCCCCTTTCCCTTATCCACCTGCTGGCCTCCACCACTTGCTGATGTTGCTAAATCTGTGGAAGCTATGCCATAGCTACCGCCAAACAATTCAGTTATTTTTACACATTTGGCAGCGTCTGCCTGAAGGGCTTGTTTCTTTTTGGCCCTAATTTTTTCTGCACCTCCTTTCCTTTTTTTGTTCTCCATTTTCTTTAGTTCGTCTATAAGATTGCTAAACAAGGGGGAGGGTGCATCCGACCTCCTCGGCTGTAATTGGTCCAGCCCAGAGTCGATCATGACCAATTGGCCAATCCAACACCTTTCATTATTTATACCCTTCCAAAAAATAAACAAATAAAAAATAAGCCCATAAAAACAAAAAATCGCCAGAGGTCCACCGGGCAAATGCCCGGTATGCCCGATGGCCAGTCCAGCTATGATCCGACTCGTCAGGCTATAACGACAGAAATGACTTCATAACTGGGCCACTCGGCCAGACCAACACGTTCTTACTCCTTACGCGTAATATTTTACGCTAGGTGACAAATCGTCAACATTTTACGCTTTCGGATACCCAACACGTTCCTAAATGACGAGATTGTAAAAATGAGAAAACACGAGAACCGCTTGGACTCAATCTACACATGTTCGTTCATTTTCTTAAAAACGCTTTGGAAAACACTATTTTATGTCATTTCTGTGCTGGTTAAGGTTGAGAATAGGGATGGAACGTGTATTACCACGGGACTGTCCTTCCACTGGATTTCACCCACAACCCGACGCGTACCATAAGAACGCGGAAGATAACCTTTGCTCCTCAGGAACACCGCGGGACGCAACAAAACGTCGGTATGCTACGCCCCGGGAGTGAGAACGGGCTGGCCAGACGGATACAAGTGCAGATCATGTACAGCATATGAAGCCAGCTTTATGAGCAGTGTTCATCATCTTACACCATAATCTAAAAACCCACAGATTTCACTGAAACTACGGTCTGCTGACACACCTGAAGTGACTCAGAAGACAATAAGACTTGCAGTCATTTATTTCACACAGTTTAATCTGCCTGATCTTCAAACTGACGATAAAATTAAATTGTCAACAGCCTTGGCTTTCAGTGTCAAACAAAGACCAGTTTAAAAAATAAAAACATGGCTTAGCAATTGAAGTCACTGAAGAAGTTTTTTAGATCTGGATTCTCTCTGAAGGCCACCAGGTGGCGACAGCTGTGGTTTCAAAAAGACTTCGAGGCCTGAAAACGTTTATAGGAAACCTGAGTTTTTGACCAGACTTCTGTGAACAGTTTACTGCTGGGTTTATCTGCATGGTGATGCTGAAGAAAAAGTCTGTTTTGTAAATCTTGATCACGTCATGGTTGAAAAATTATGGTTATTTGTGCTGTTCTCATTGACTAACAGCACAATTAGCTTGTTGGGGAAAAACTTCACAATTACGTGTGAAGTCAGACTAAGATTTACGTTTCCAGCACACCAGCGTTTGTAGTTTTGGCTCTGACGGGGAAAACAAACTCTTGCCTTGCACAAATACGTGCTCTTAAAGTCTTTAAAGTTTTTAGTGGGAGCGGCAACTCAAATACTTCAGCTCCAAAGCTGATAAAGGCCTTCCATTGTTCCGCCTACAAAAAAAGAGATAATGTATGTTTCCTGCCACCACCAGGTTGGTGTTGAGCAACAACAAAAATTACTCAGTCAAGCTACATGTTGGGCTCCTAGCAGCACAGAATCTGTGGGATGGAGCAAACATTGCTTAGAAAATATGCAAACAGTGCTTTTTAGAAAGACTTCAGTGAACCTCCAAAGACCTACACACAGCGATGTTTAAAAACAAACAAAAAAACAAAAACATCCAGGGAGCGCCATCATGCTGAATTGCTCAACTCAGGGGTGGAGGGGACAGCCATGCCCAGAAACCGAACAAATGCCTGTTTGTGAAGCCAGAAAAATCTGATACAACCCGTTTTACTCAATTGATGGAAAGACAGAGGGAGGTCAGGACACACAAAGAATGCAGAAAAGGGAAAGACTGGGGGTTAAAGAGACCAAATTTAAGAAAAATCTTAATCAAGTTAGAAAAAGTAGAAATATATTGGAAATAAATAAATAGATAAATAATAACTTTAGTATTGAAAGTTGCATCACAGCTTCCTAAACCAGCATGCCACACCTACTGTGCCAGTTGTCAAACTGATTTAGGGATGAGGCCCAAATTAAATAAACTGAGCGCTTCAAACACAAATCAAATAAAACCGGCAGGTTTGCAAACTTTTAAATCAGACTCAGTTGAAATCTGTTGAACAGCCTCAAAAACTCAGACGCCACCTGTAAACACCTGCCCAATCCATCACCTGTGAATAAACTGTAAGAACTCAAGTTGTCTTAAATACTCACCCAAAAAAGAAGGTTGAAGAAGAAGAGAAGGTATTTGACACACTTGTTAACAGCCATGGTTTTTCCCTCGATTCACGTCGACCGCCTGCTTCAGAGGACTCGAGCTTCCTGCACAGTGAACACACAGTCTGTCAGATCAGTAAACACACGAGCCTGCGCTACTGTTTCCACCCATTCAGGGTGCGTCCCTCACTGCACCCTCCTCCTCCTGCTTCCACATCTCCTCTCCTCTTTTTTTTTTTTTTTTTTTTATATTTTCATTTTCCCTGCAGGATTCCCTCGTTTTTTCCCCCACCAGTTTACTATAATCAGATAAAATTAAGATCAACATATGGAAAGAGCTCATGTTTAAACTCACTGCTCGGCTGAGACGAGAATCTGAATGATACTTCAACAACTAGGATAAAGGAGGATAAACAAACTGTTTCACTTCAGCGGTAAGTTCTGACTTCTGATAAGTCAACTGCTGTTGTATGGATAGATGTGTTCAAACATTCACATCCATCTGGATCAGTTTTATACTTGTAAAGCAGCATCAGATGATCTGAATGATCTTCTGCCCGACATCAGCAAAACCAGCAATATAAATCTGACTTTACCCAAGAAGAAGCCACTAAGCCAAAATTCCAGCAAGATCAATGGGATTAGTTTAAGCATGAGAAGGTTCTTTAGTCTTAAATAACCTGTAACAAAAGCCAGAAAATCCTGATTAGGTGGCTTTCAGTTGCAGGGATAATACAGTGGGTGTTTCTGATTCCAGCTGCAGGACTTTTTTTCTTTTTCTTTTTTAGGTGGGTGGGTAAGGAAAGCGACAACCTAGCTTCTCCGGAGTTTCCACATTTTACCAAGCTTAGAGGCTGCTTGGTACATTTTCACTCAAACATAAACTCCTGAACCCTCACAAAGTCATTTCCCCATCAGCGGAGCCTGGTTTCAGGGTAAAATCAGATCACCAAACCACAATTTAGACCCCGGTTCTTTTATACATAGTTGAATACACCAGGCCACCACACTGAAAAGTAAAATTATTTCAGGTTCTCGTTTCATGTGTTTGTGTGCCCGAATTTGTGCATAGTGTTCCTCCTGGTTCCTCTATCACACATCTGACAATAAATGAGAACAAAGCAGCGAGCTGCAAATTACACCTTGGTGTAAACCAGCAGATGGCAGATTAATCATTCACATTACCTTCTGTTTCCGTTCTGTCATTAATTCACTCACTCACTCACTCAGGCCTCTCCCAGGTCCACTCTATTCCCCAGGCTTTCACTCCTCACCTGTTCCCAGTTTCCCAATCAGTGCACCTGCCTCCTTGTACCCGATTACCCCTCCAGGATTTCTCCAGTCACTGTTGGATTTTCTGTTCTACCCTAGTGAGTCTTTCCCTCTGGTTTTGACCTAACACCCACACACAGAGGTACAACTTATTTTCTCACTCATCTCAGAATCAGCCACATTATGTGTCAGTAGATTATTACACATATTATCATCACAACTATTTTAACCTTTTAGTGTAATTTAAAAAGTCCAAATCATTCCCAGCTCACCTTTAATTTTCAGCACCTGTTTGGGCTTTTACCAAACATCAGGTTAAGTTAAAAGTAGAATGAAAACAAAAAAAATGGAGACTTGGGATAAAACCGCCTCATGGTCACTGTTTCAGCAGTTAGAGAGGTGAGGCTGACATGGTTTGAACATGTGTTGAAGAGGGATAGTAGATATACTTGGCAAAGGATGATGAGGATGAAGCTGTCAGGCAGGAGGAAAAAAGGAAGACCCCAGAAGAGGTTCATGCAGAGGGTAAGATTCTAGCAACAGGGTGAGATGGAGGCAGATGATCTGCGGTAGTGACCCCTAAAGGAAGCAGTGGAAAATGGAAGAAAACGATAAACTAATGGCCTCTCAGACTGGTATTAATTTCCAGCAGACAGTGTAAAAATTAACTAACTACAATCACTTTCACTTTATATTACTATAATATAAACTACTATAACTATACATACTGAAAAAAAAAACACAAAAATAAAGAATTTCCTCAATATATGCGAACAGATACTTTGCATATATTTGTATATACTGTTGGTGTTAGAATGAAAACACCAACAGTCGAAACATATTTAAAGTCTTTATCAAACCAGCTGATTCCTTTAGAAGAAGGGCATTCAATGTGTAGTGAATCATTAGCCTATTTTAATCTTATAGAGTATGAATGAATTAAATAAAAACTAAACATAGTTGTTGAGAAGTTCTGTCAGTAAAATGTGCTTTTAAGTCGCCATCTAACGGCAGCTGTATGAAAATACAGCAGAGTGAGTGCACACCTGTGTAACTGCAGCTTCCCCTTCACTGTCTGTGAGCTCACAGATACCCTCACACCTGTGAGGCAGCTGTCAGGCAGGTGTTTGACTGCTAACAGCCGTAGCATGTGTCTGGTCATTGTTTCTGAAGGTTCTGAGTATCAGGGGCTGATCTAGAAGGGTGGCATGGGGTAAGTGCCACCCCAAAATGATCTCTTACCATCCCAAGTGCCACCCTAGTTTTGCATATAACAGTGTTGTTTATTAAAATAAGATAGCATTAACACTTTGAGCGTAGTTACAGTTAACAGTGAATATAAATGCTAAAACTGAATATATTGCATAGTGTAACCCCCCTCCACCATTAACAAATGGTTCAGCCCATCGCGCAGACCGTTTTTTTTTCTTCTTTTTTTCAGTAGTGAGCAATGCTTATGATTGTGCCAGAGCACATTCTGAACAACACCATGGGGATTTCAGAGTTCGCACAGGTGGTTGGTTGTTACACTCTGGAAATGGAATGAAGGTGAGTGTTATTAACCCTCTGTGGTCCACGGACACGCGGCACCTCCAAATCACATGACTGATGTAAGCTGACGCAGCAACAAGCTGCAGCCACGTTGACTCGGTTTTTCAGCTCATAGTGAAAGTTCGGACTTCAAAGTTTTTAAATTTTAATTACAGGCCAGTAAATCCAGAGTTATGATCATATATATCAGCCATGCTTTTTTCTAAATACGTGTTTGTGTGTTGTGTGTGTGTGTGTGTGTGTGTGTGTGTGTGTGTGTGTGTGTGTGTGTTTATTTAAAGCGTTTTCTAAAGACGGCTCGAAAACAGTAAAGAAAAGAAAAAAAGGCACTTCTTTCCTATCGGTGGAAAAATGTACCATGTCGACCAAATTTTTTTTAAAGTCATGTAGGATTTGGTTGTTTCGGAAGAGGGAGGGGAGAGTTTTGGGAGTGACAGTAAAGGAGAGAGCCAGAGTGAGCGAGTGAGAGAGAGAGACAGTTTTTAGATGTGGGAGATTTGTGACGTTTAGTGTGAAGTTAGTATAGTTAGTCTGTCGTATAGTCGTTGTTTTGTTTTGTGTGTCAGTGAGGGGACTAACGAATGTCCCCTGAGGGAATGTCACAAAAGCACACATTTTTAGATAAATAGTTGTATATTTTTACAAAATGTGTGCATAAGTTTTCAAAATGTACAATTTATATTTGCATTTCAAGTTATAAAAATAATAACTGACTCAACATGTCTGTTTTTTTTGTTTTTTTTTTACAGTAGAAAAATACTACCAGGATTTTAAATTTCCTGTGTGATTTCAGATCAGTAATACTAAGTATTTCAATGAAAAAACAACTAAATTTGGTGTGATAAGTCGTGAGGTTGAGCTGCAAAGAATGAAACCAAATAAGGCAAGGGGAAAAAATAAAATGAAAACAATTTGAGGGTGAAATACAAATGTAAAATCAAGTCGTGTCAACAATGGCCAGTTATATTTTGGACCTCAGTGGGTTAATCCAACAAATCATGAAAAATTAAGTGTAAATTTTTGTTCGTGACAGTGCAGATTTCTGACATTTTGTGTAATTTAAGTATGTAACAATTTGATTGTTTTCTAACAAAAAACAGTGAAACTGAAGTTGAACTTGTGTTTGTAAATGAACCGCCCCATGTTGTGTAGCTTTCTGGATTTTATACTTATTGGCCTACATATTTATTTATTATACAGGCTATACAGTACATAAAATCAAAACTCACATTTTTTATGTAACTAAAGTGTTTAATTATGTGGGCTACAGAAAATAATTGAATTAGACTATATTTTTTAGAAAAAACGTGTATACTTACTGCATTTGAATCATTTTAACTATACGTAAACACCTACATATGTGTTTGGGAAAAAAAGGCTTTGATTTTGCCACCCTAAGAAAATTTATCTAGATCCACCCCTGCTGAGGATTCTTTTAAAATAAAAAAAAATTACACGAGGGTTTGAGCTGTTACTAAGAAGGCATCAATGCTAAAACAAAAGACGTCAGTTTAGACTTGAATTAAAAGAATAGATGCTCATACAGGAGGAGATTGATATCTAAGTGTCAGGAACTGGAGTGAGAAGTGTCATTCAAAGAGAGCCACACAGTACAGAACAAGCCTGGCAGATGTAGGATGCAAAAAAAATTTAAAGACCCTGGAAAGAAAACAAGTGAGAGACATCTAAAGACTTCAGAGCAACTGCCCAGACACTCGTGAGGGAGTAGGGAGTTAGCTAATGAAAACAATCACTCAGACTCTGCACAGGAATTAACTGTGAGGTCGCAGACCAAGAAAAACTCCACTTTTGCAGAAGAGACTAAAGTGTGCTAAGGACAACCTGGAGACAGATTATTCATGCTAGAAGTGAGTACGTTACTCAGATGAGCTCAAACTGGAGCTCTTTGGTCACAGAGACGCAGCTTATGTTGTTTTTAAAGAGAAAAGCGAGAGAAGTACAACCCGAAGTAGAGCGTCCCAACATTGAACCACGCTGGTGGGAATACTGTGAATGTTACTGGCTGACCTCCACAAAGCCCTCACTCCCACTGAAAATGTGTGAGGTGAACTGAAGACCAAGGTCCGTACCAGAAGGCCATTGAATCTGAAGGAACTGGAGAGATTCACGGGACATGTGCGACATGTTTCTGTGTGTAAAGAAAATAATGTGAGCATTTAAAATAAAACTGGGATGTTTGAAAAATCCTTGAACCGCTCTGGATCAGCTCTCCACTTCTTTGCCTTCTCGAGTCTCTGAGTCGTTGCTGGTTTTTCTCTGCCAGTTTTGTTTTTCCCATCATTTAGACAATGGTCTTCTGAACCCTCCATCCACCCTGACCTTCTCCCTTTTGCTGAAGGTCCGTCTAACTATTCTTCAAAGTTTGGCTGGAGATTATATACGTTGTCAAAAGAACTGGGGGTCATTTTAAGCTTTATTCTTTAATGAAATATTAAATGTTTCATTCTTTGTCTTCTCACTGAGTGTTTTCTTATTTTTAGGACATATCTGCTGGATTTAGGTGTTCCCCATGTGCTCACATGCTGTCCTTCCTGTTCCTGCACTCTTATAGTGCAGTCTGGTCTGCCCGTACACGTCTTACACGTGGGGTGTAACAACCTGAGTTACCGTTTAAATGAAGCGCAGCTCATAGGACAGTCCGCAGTGATGTCATACTGACATTTTTCAGGCTGTGAATGTGACGTGTAAGAAGCAGGGAAGGAAAGCAAGCTGTGGTGACTTTCTCTGGGCACGTTGGAAGTGGTAAGAAGACTTAAATATTTAATGTAATGATTCATTTCAGTGGAGCATTAAAGAAAAATGTAAGGAACTGTAACATAATCTGGATTCTCTGAGACTCAGCATGTCAGGACTCGTCTCACAGAGCCCGACACAGATGATTGTCGTCTTTTCTTTAGAAGAAAACACCCAAACTTTTGCTCATTTACCTGATTTATACAGCAATTTTTCCTACATTTAGTGGAAATTTCAATCAAATTAGTCCATGCATGGCTGTAAATGTTCACTCGTGTGGAGTGAACAAAAACACACACAGCAGCACAGAGACTGACCCCTAAAACGAGAAAAGGACTAAAAACACTGAGTTTGCATCCAGTGATCTGGTGTCACTGCTGCGTTTGTTAAGAATCCAGAAGGCTATCAACACTGCAAAAGCTAAACTTAGGACATAATCAAAGCAAACTGAATCATTTTAGGTCTTAACTGCACTTTAATATTGCTCTAATATTTATTTAAAGTATGCGAGCAGACAAATTCACAAGAAGAAGCTTTTATCACAGCAGCGTAATGCTCATATTCATACAAGAATAACACAAACATCCCATCTATTTCTGCTTTTTGGTTTATCAGGAAGCCACAATGACGTCTACTAAAGAAGCTCTTTGGCGCACTCTTGAGCGTCTGACA